TCTCACTCTCTAATTCACTCACTCTCTCACTCACTGATTCACTCACTCACTCTCTAATTCATTCATTCTCACTCTGTCACCCACTGACTCACTCTCTCACTCTAATTCACTCGCTCTCATTCACACATTCACTCACTCACTCTCTCACTCTCTCACTCACTCAATCACTCTCTCACACTAAAAAAAAAAAAAACAAGAAGCCAGAGGAGAGAATAAGAATTCGTGAACTGATGGGAAAGGACGAGATCTCCCTCGCCCCCACATGCAAATATGCCAAGAACAGTCATTAAAAACCCCAGGAATAAGTGGTTCAGGTCAAAATCAAATGGCTGCTTTGCATGAGTGGGTGAGAATTGGATGGGATGCATGGGTAATCAGATAGGGTTCAGGCCTCTCCCCACAAGCTACGGATGGATCGATTACCAATGGAAACATAGTACCTTGACGTGATCTGACTCTCTCCGTCAGAATTGGAAAGTCAGTGACTAACTTTAACATCGCCTCTGCGAGAGCCCCCACCCCTGCTTTCCCCGACGGCTGGGTGCCTGGAAAGCCGGGCCAACAGCTTTGCAAAACGCAGGCGTCCGAGGATAAAGGGAGTGAAGGCGGTCGTCGGTGGCCATGCACCAGCCTCCCCTCCCCCCGCCCCCTCGCCCCCAGGTCCATGAACACTTGTGGGGAATCAGTCACCATCACCCTGGACCTTGATAGGGTTCTTCAATCTGGTCAGGCAGGCAGGAATGGAGGTGAAGAAGCCGCAGGTGCGAAGCCTACCGATCTCCACTGGTCCCTATAGGCCTCGTCGAGCCGGTGCGAGGGACGCGGCTCCCGCGCTCCTCTCGGGCGGGCTGGCCAGCCGTTTCTGTGCGCACGCGCAGCGGCGCCCCTGGCGCGCCCCCTACCGACCGAGCCGGAGCAGCCGCCGCTTCCTCGGGCCTCCCGCCCAGCCCGGCTGCGCGCATGCGCCTTTCTGCTAGGGGGCGTGGCGTGGGCGGGGAAGCCGCCGCCTCGATTCCAGGGCGTCCCCGCCCTGCGCCGGGCTAGGAAGCAAACGCCGCCGGGTCCTGCGCGAGCCCAGGGTGGCCGCCGCGGTGGCCGTCCATCGGCTGGAGGACCCACCTGGGGAGGTAGCCCAACAATGGAGAGCCGGGCCACAACAGACGCGCGGACACCAATCTGGAATTCACCCCCGTCGTCTGCGGAAGCAAACGAAGCGTCCACCCGCAGATCAGTGGACTTGAGTGGACTTGAGAATGGCGGATACGTACGTCGTGTATACAGACCGTGGACGGTCACTCAGCTATCAAGGGATATGTAAATAATAGCGGTGGGGCTTGGATCTCCTTTTACGCAGACGGACACCGGCGTCTCAGACAGCGCTGGACCTCAAGATAGATCCGACACGTCCTTTTGGAAGAGGAATGCTGCGCCATTCCTCTGATTGTATCATGTCCCAGGATTTTCTGACTCAAAATGGCCAATGCCGGTGCAGTTCAACTCACTAGTGCCTAGAATATTGATCTGTATGCATTCAATTTCATTTTTGAAGGATTTCCAAATTTCTTAGATTTATACTTCACACGGTCCAAGTTCTAATTATTAGTTGATGTTGGCAGCTGTCCCTTCACGTTTTGAGTCATGTGCCCCATCAGCAAATGATGGTCCCGAAGGCTTGGCTCCCGCAAGCTTGACACCACCCTCATCCTTAAGGTCTATGCTACTTTGAGAAGGCAGCTCTTCCTCAGGCGTATTTTGAGTGCCTGCTGACCTAAGGGAAGATCGAGGATCGCACCCTACTCGATAGATTATAATTCAATGTACTGGAAAGTAAAAGTCCTCACCACTGGACCAATAGGTGCTGACAACGGGAGGAAAGATTGAAATCGTCCAGGATTCCATCTTGCTTGCATCCATCACCAACGGAAGCAACAGTCAGGAGATCTAGCAATGCATTGCTTTGGGTAAATGCGCACCAGATCGCTTTACAGGGTTGAAAAGCAAGGCTACGTTGAGGACTAAGGTGTGTGGATGACCCAAGCCATGGTATTGGCCATCGCTTTATATGCATGTGAAAGTTGGACACTGACTGAGGAAACCTGCAAAAGAATTGATGCATTTTTTAACATATCATACATTTATTACGTATGATGATCTACTTAGAGAATAACCTCTTAGAGCCAAAGGGGATGCCAAAATCCTAGTTCTTTTACACATAAACTGAAAGGAGTGACTCACTCAAAGTTATTTTGAATGCATATATTTGGAATATATGCATTGGAATAGCCAACTCCCAAATCCCAGTGTTTGTTTTTGTTTTTTAAATAATTTTATTGGGGGGCTCTTACAGGCCTTATCACAATCCATATACACATCAAATGTATCAAGCACATTTGTTGCCACCATCATTTTCAAAATGTTTTTTCTTGAGCCCTTGGTATCAGCTCATTTTTCCCTCCCTCATGAACCCTTAATAATTTATTAAAAAATGTTTTCATTTCTTATATTGTCCACTGTCTCCCTTCACCCACTTTTCTGTTGTTTGTCCCTCTGGGTGGGGGGAGGTTTAATATGTCGATCATTGTGATTACTTCCCCTTTCTTCCCCCCACTTTCCCCTTCCCCTTCCCCTCCTGGTATTGCTACTCTCATTATTGGTCCTGAGGTGTTTATCTGTCCTGGATTCCCTGTGTTTCAAGCTCTTATCTGTACCCGTGTACATGCTCTGGTCTAGCCAGATTTGTAAGGTAGAACTGGGGTCATAATAGTGGGGGGGGGGAAGCATTAAAGATTTAGAAGAAAGTTGTATGTTTTGTCAGTGCTATACTGCACCCTGACTGACCCGTATCTTCCTTGTGACCCTTCTGTGAGGGGGCGACCAATTGTCTACAGATGGGCTATGGATCTTCACTCCACCCTCCACCTCATTCACATCGATATGATTTTTTGTTCTGGGTCTTTGATGCGTGATACCTGATCCCATTGGCACTTCGTTATCACACAGGCGGGTGTGCTTCTTCCATGTGGGCTTTGTTGCTTCTCAACTACATGGCCGTTCCGTTTTTCTTCAAGCCTTTAAGACCCCGGACACTATAGCTTTTGAGAGCTGGGCACCAATTATGGTGCTGGCCAAAAATATTGAAAATACCATGGGTTTGCCAAAAGAACAAATGAAGAAGTCCAGCCTGAATGTTCCCTGGAAGCAAGCATGGACAGACTTGTTTGCACATATTTGCTTGTCAGAGAGACCAATCCCAGGAGAAGGACATCATGCTTGGTCAAGCAGAGGAGCAGTGAAGAAGAGGAAGGCCCCTGACCAGTTGGATGGACACGGTGGGCAACAATGGGCTCCAAAAGAAGAACAAGCAGGTAGGTGGCACAGGAGCAGACAGCGTTTCCTTCTGTGACACAGAATGTCACGTCAGAATTGACTGGGCTGATGAAGGCACCGTAAAGCACTGAGGAAACACACACTCTTCCTCTGGTTCCTGGAGGCTACCTCACTGCCCACTATCATGATCCCAGTCCTGCCTTTCCCTGTGGGCTAGACCCGGAGCATGTGCACAGGTTCAGATAAGAGATAAGAGCTCACGACGACTCATGGAATCCAGGAACAGGAATGGGAATAGCAATACCAGAAAGGTAGGGGAAACCTATCGCAATGATCGACACATAACCACCATCACCCCCACCAAGCGGGATGAACAACAGAAACCGTGGGGGAAGGGAGATAGTGGTCAGTATAAGATAAGAAAATAATAATAATTTCTGAAGGGGTCACAAGGATGGGGGGGGCAAGAGGAGCTGATACCAAGGGCTCAATAAGAAAGTAGATGTCTAGAACAGAATGATGGCAACCTATGTACAAATGTGGTCGGTACAATGGGTGTATGGGTTGTAATAAGAGTTGTTAAGAGCCCCCAGTAGGATGTGCTGGCCCTGGTCAGCATCAGTCAGTGGCGGCCACAGGCCCTGCTGCATTGGGTGGACGCTCATGCCTGACCCTTCAGCACCATCAAGCCCATGTACAGGGTGGAAGCCGCCACTGTGACCAACCCAGGGCCATCAGGTGCCACAGCCACTGCATCCCTGGTCACAGCCAGGAACCTAAGTCCCAGCTCTAGAGAGGGCAGGAAGCCCAAGGGTCCTCTCCCCACAGAAAGCTCTGGAATCCTGCCCAGGGAGGGGCTACTGGCCTCATTGGGCCTGCTGGCCTTTCTGACCTTGGCAGTAGCCATGCTCTATGGGCTGTCCCTGGTCACACCTGGGCAGTAGAGCCAAGAATCTAATAAAGACCTCCAACAGCAAAAAAAAAAAAAAAAAGCCCCCAATAAAATGATCCTTAATAAAAAATATATTGAAAAAGAATTGACTGGGCAGCACTTAACAACAACAAGAGGGATTATAAGTTACATTAGCATCCTTCAGAGAAACGTACATTAAACCTACTATACACCTACCTAACAGAATGGCTAAATGAAGAACACAAATAATAAAAGTCTTATCAAAGATGCCTGGCAACTGTAACTCTTTTCCATTCCAAAACGTAGTGCAAAATGACGCAACCACTTTGAAAGAGTTCGGCAATTTCGTAAAAAGGTCAACACATTTCATAGGAATGGCAGCATCGCTATGAAATTGGCCAGCAATGTCAATCCTAGGTATCTGTCCAAGAAGTTTTGTTCATACAAAAAAACATGTGAAGGCTTACAGCAGCTTTCTCAATAATTTCCCACACTGGAAAAACCCAAACTCCCTTCAATCGGTAGATAGATCGGCTGTAGCACACCCACGGGGTCCAATACTAGTCAGCAATAAAACGGAGCAAACTGTCCATACCGTCGACAAATTCAATATATGAATATTGATTTTTTCCCCCTAAGAAGCCAGACTCAAACAGCCACCGACTGTGTGATCCTGAAAATGGCGTTCTGGAGAAGGCAGAACTCTAGTGACAGAGAAACAGAAGTTAAGAATGAAAGGAGGGCACATCTACAAAAGAGCAGCAGAAGGGACTTTTTAGGGTGGAACAGGTCTGGATCTCGATTGTGGTAGTAGTTGTATGATTCTATATACATATGTCAAAATGTATAGAAGTTTACATGTAAAAAGGAAATTTTATTATTTGTCCATTCCTGCCTGCTCAATTCTGTCCCTTTAAAAAAAATTGTTTTGTGCGAAAACGGAATTTCCAAAAAGAATAATGCAGGTAATTTTGAAGAAGAACGAAATCTCAAGACTTATTAAAAATTAAATTAATTAAGAGAGTGCAGTCTAGAGGGGGGAAATGACCAATAAAATAGAAGAGTTCAAAAATTTTTTTAAATAGAAGAGTTCAGAAACAGATCCAAACCTATATGGAACTTTAGTGGCATGGTGGGTTACAACTTGAGCTGCTGATCACAAGGTCTGCCGTTCAAAACCAACAGCTTCTCTGGGGAAGAAAGATGAGACCTTGCGCTCCCATGAAGAGTTACAGTTTCAGACATACCATTTGAAATATCAACATCTGGGGCTAATTGGAAGGAACTTGGGCAGAGCCAGCAATTTCTACTGGACTACTCGTCACAAATCTGGAGGTCCCAACTCATCCAGTGTCATGGCGAAAGAAAGACTTGGCAGATTGCTTCTATAGATATTACCACAAGGCAAAACCCTATGGAGCAGATCTGCTATGTCCCACATGATCAGCCATGAGTCGGAATCCATTCGATGACACAATAATTTGGGGGGCATTTATTCCTTAAACACGTAATTGATTTACCTATTTAGTCTGGCTAACACCTGTGTCAGATGCTGTTTGCTGTAGGCAACACGGATACAGCAGTGAATCAACAAGTTTTCAAA